CAACACGAATGTCTGCAGGGAAAGGCGTGCTAATAAAAAGCAAGATATGAATTCATACTGTGGTAGCTGTGCTGGTAAAATTCCCTGGATGGATGTTCTTATTCTGGAGTAATAGTGGATTTTTTTTTCCCCAGTATAGCTTAAGCCACTTATAAAATAAAATAAACTAACCAGGAAAATCCACTCTTACTCTGGAGTAAGATTGTCCACCCAGGGAATGGATAGCATTGCGGTATAGTTTTACGACATAATTTCCCCGTATGGATGAGCCCTAAAACTAAGGAGAGAATAAGGAGCAGTAAAGAACAGAAATATGTTTTCTGTTCCTTTCTCAGTTTACCTCTAAGACCTTTCACACAAGGGAAATCATAGCAATCTTAAAATATACATTCACTTACTTTTCACTGCTGCTCCTGCATTCACACATACATTTTTTAAAGAGATTTGTGTTTTGTACAAGACCTTTTGCTTTCTCATGCTGTTCTTGTGCATTTTTGATGTACAATCAAGTCAGACTGTTGTTTGTGACATCATATTTCTTTACAGCCTGTGATGTCAAACTGCCAGGCTTCACTGCAAGCGAGACCTTGTTGACAAAGCTTCATCCTAAGGCCATATATCTGATAAAATTGAAAATGAACCTAAGCATTACGAAAATCAGATTTCTCTCTGTGTGAGATATTTTTAACCTTCCCGTATTGAATTAGCACTGCCTTTAAAATGTCTTTATTTTTTGAAGCAGATTGAAGATAACTTCCATGAAATATTGTTGGCCAATTTCCCCCTGAAGTCAATGGTAACTATGTATATATTTTTCAAGCAGATGTGCTGTATTAAGTCTAAGTGGGAATCTTTTATTTCAAATGGGAGATAATATATCGTTTTTGCTAAGAAATTGATAGTAACTTACCTCCTTCACTTTCCTCTTCCCTTGTACAACTCATCTTGTACAATTTACAGGTCATTTTATGAAGACAAGAGAGCGTTCTCTAGTATTTATAAAATGCAGACTTTCACCATGTCTGAAACTCCTTTCTAGCTCACTCTATGAATTTGAAGTATGAAAACATCTTGGATCTTCATGAGCAAAGAAAAGGAATATGCCTTATTTGACAGCTCTTGCCCCCAGAAATTCCCACCAAAGTCCATTTTCCATATGCTTAGAATAAATTCTGAAATCTTTTTGTACCAATGTAGCTTTTGCGGTCATTTAGTTCTCATAGAAGATTTTAAGTTAAGGGCTAAAAAAAAATAATTAAAGTATTTTTAAAACATCTCTTGGCTTTTCTAATTTGTGCCATTTACCAAATGAGTCACGCTTTACCAAAATGCAGGAGATGGAGGAGACAGGAAAAGTACTGATTTAGCATCCCTCTTATAAAATTGCTTCAGGCTTCCACATATAGCCCCAATGTTCAGGGAGTGAGAAACTGGGAGTTGGGAGTCACAGTCTGACTCACTTGTGAGACTTTGACCCAGTTATTTCATTCTTGATTCAGCAAAATACTGAAGCACATGCATACTTTAAACTTGTTATCTTAGGTTTCTTCTAAAGGTCTGTTACCGTTGATCTCTTCATATCTCAGTTTACACAGTTATAAAACTAGATAATTAATTCTTACCTTCTAGGCTTTTGTGTGAGTTAAGAAAAAAAAAAACACAGTATCTGTAGTGTTCCTTGAAACCGTCTAATGAAAGCTGACGTATTGAAGTGTTTGTCATTTTCTTTATTTTGTAACTTTGCATGAAAAATCGCTTGTGCTTCACATCAGCACATGGACGATGGCAGAGCAGAAGTTTTGTGGTCTGTAGGGATTGGGACTTGGGTCTGAGCGAGGGTTTGGTCTCCCGAGGGCACCAGGCCACAAATACCACCATCAGGTTCTTTGACAGTTGGAAATGTTCTGCATTAAAAGCGTCCTTGTTTTAGCCAGATTTTGAGTCGTTCAAAATATAAGCAAAATCATAGCTCAGTTATGTGCCCTGTCTCTGTCACTTAAATGCAGTGTATGCTTCCTTACTACCTATATGTGCACACACATATAGATAAAGTCTTGTGCACCTCCCAAGACATACAGAGGCCACTCTGTCCTTGTAATTCTTCCCCTTCCTGTCACTGCCATTATATTTATTTGCCAAGATCTGAGCTATTATCATTCAGCAGTTGTACAGA